GAACTATCATTACCAATACTGTAAGTAATAGTACCACAATTGAAGGAAAGATTTTAAAATTCCAGAGAGGGTGCTGGGGGGAGTGTACACTTGTGAGAGTACACTTGCCTGGCTTGCAGCCAACGCTATGCTGGGTTTTATCCCTGGCATAACATATGGTATCCTGAGCACTGCCAGGAGTGAATCCTGAGCATAGAGCCAGGAGTATGCCCTGAGCACAGCCTGAAACAATTCAGAGAAAATAGCCTTCAAGGTGATTATAGCAACTGAAAAGGTAAAACAAACTACACAGGATGGTAAAGGAATAGACAAACAAAATAAAATAAACAAACAAACAAAGAACCCATCTCCAATATAGTTAAAGTTATGGGGGAAAAGATGGACCATCTATGAGCTTACTAAATAATTTTGATTCCTAGATTCTTCTCAGATTCTCTGAGCATGAGCCATGCAGGGGTCTAACATGCTTCTTTTGCAGTTTTAAACTCCCTGACACACTCTGATGTGTATTTTTTGCCTTTATGTCTGTTTTTGTTGGGGAAGTCACAGTGCTCAGGGACTCCTCCCAGCGGTGCTCAGGGACCCCTGTGGAACTGGGAACAGAACCAGGCAAAGCACTCTAGCCCTTTGAACTATCTCCCGAGCCTCAGAGATGTTGCTGTTGTTGTTTTGTACATTGATTTCTGTGGGGCTGAGGATCACACCCAGATTTTCCCGCACACAATGCATGTACATGCTTAGTCAGTCTGGTCTCGGGTCCTCGATATACGTTTCTTCAAGCCATTGTCTGGACTTGAAGAAAAAGCTCTTGTGCACATCCCCTTCCTCCAGATAAACCAGGACACTAGAGAAAAATGGCCAAGACTCCGGCCCTCAATTAAAGTCAAGCACTAAGCTGAGAAGTTTCTTCCTGGAAAATTTTATGCAGACTGCAGGCCCGTGGCTGAGAAGCAGCATGTGAGGGCTGAGCCGTCCTGTTGCTCTTTCTCGGCTGCCCCTCTCAGCTTTCGGTCCTGCAGGCTGGGCTGCAGCCATTGCCTTGTCAAAGGACAAGATGACAGTGGCAGTGGAGCCAGGAAAATCCCACCCCCTGAGGTGGCCAGACACCTCCGCATTCTTGGAGGCAGAGGATGCTGACCGTCCAGCTAGCCTGAGGTGGCACACCCACGGCACTCCCAGACCAGTGGATCAGGCAGAAATTTAGCCAGCACCTGCCAGAAATAAGAGAGAGCCAGGGAGGGCTGTGAGAAACCCCCAAACAACCCAGGCTCTGCAGAGGGTCCTACGAGTTCAGAGGGAATTGAAGGTAGGATGGCCTCAAAAACATTCGACTTCAGATGCTGCCCAGAAATTCCGCAGACTGATACAGCAGTGGAGGCTGGGCTGGGAGTTCCCCTCCACCCAGCTGTTGGAACACAATCTCTGGCTCATCTCTGACTGGGCACTGCACAGACCCCAGGGCAGCCCTTGGGTACAAGGCTAAAAAGAAGTCCACACAAATGTCTTCCATTAGAACTCAAGATTCATTCTTTTCTTGTTTTTTTTTTAACAAAGCTTCCATGTTTGAGTTTCAATCATATAATGATCAAACACCCATCCCTCCACCAGTGCATATTCTCCACCACCAATATCCCCAGTATACTGCCCCCCCCCTTCTAACCTTTCCCCTACCTCCATGACAGACAATTTCCCCCATATTCTCTCTCTACCTTTGGGCATTATGGTTTGCAATACAGATACTGAGAGGCTATCATATTTGATCCTTTATCTACTTTCAGCACACATCTCCCATCCCAAACTACCCCTTCAACCATCATTGTCTTAGTGATCCCTTCTCTATTCCAGCTGCCTTCTCCCCCAGCTCATGAGGAAGGCTTCCAACTATGGGGCAATATTCCTGGCCCTTGTATCTACTGTCCTTGGGTGTCAGTGTCATGTTATTATATATTCCACAAATGAGTGCAGTCCTTCTACATTTCTCTCTCTCTCTTTCTGACTCATTTCACTTAGCATGATACTTTCCACATCCATTCACTTATAAGCAAATTTCAAGGATTCATTCCTTTTTAAAGGCAAAGAAGTTGCTATGTGGTTTTGAAAAACTGAAGACAATATAAATAATACTTGCTTGGACTGTCCTTTCAGCTACTACTAATTAACCTTTATTTCACTCGGGTTCAGTCCAGGTGTTCCAAGCTTGGAACTCTGATCTAAAGGTTTGAATGGAAGAGTTCAGGGAAAGAATTTGCTCTTCAAGGTTACAGAATTGGGACAGCTATGCTGATCTTCTTCACAGTCTTGATTTTCTAAAAGTACATATGCCATATCTGACAGATTTAGGAAGTCAAATATATTGGTAATTAATTGTAAGTGATATTACTTTGTTTAATTTGGTAGCAATAAAATAACATTAAAATATAACTAGGGCATCTAGGTTCTGGTGCTGATTCTAAAATTTTCTGAGTAGTCTTGACCTAAATATTCTCTAGTGCTCAGTGCCCATATTTGTAAAGTGAAGCACATTTGGCAATTTCTGCAGTGATTTTTTTATCTCAAAATCTGTGTGTAGGGGCATACAATAACACACATTAACAGGAAAATATAACTATAAAAAATTTACTCAATCTTATTCTAATAACTGCACTCCAAGGATAATTATTAGCACAGCATGTGTAAACACATCCACATATTAAAAGGTGGTATTTAAAGAGCTTATTTTCTGAAATAGGTTAAAGCACTACGTGTGAAATCTTGCTTACAAAAGGTGGCAGCTGATTTTATTTTAGTATGGTACTGGAGTCCAAACTTAAGACACGTTATGGTCAAAGATTAGAAGGGTCAGATTAGCTAGACTGTATGATACTTGAAGATCAAAACAGTAATATACATCGTTAAATATTTAATATATTATTAGTAATAATGCATAAGTAATGATATATTTTTCCATAATATATTGTGCTATTAGCATGGCATTAATAATTTCTAACATATTAATATTTAATATATTAATATTTAATGTGTTGATTTTTAATTATTTATTTAACATGCATGATAAATAGTGATCACTGTGTCAAAATTATTTTAATCACCTTACACATATTAATTCTTTGATCCTCAAGAGCCTTCTAAGATGGACTACTATTAATATCACATCTGATTTACAGACAAGGAAACTGGGGTACGGAGAGGTTGATTAACTTGCCTAAGGCACTAAGAAGCAGTAGAGTAATCTGCATTAGACTCAGAAGACCAGGAAGTAAGTGACCTGCAGCGTGGCCTCAGCAGGCTCCTGGTCCCAGGCTCCAGCACTGCGCCTAGCTCTCACATCTCATCTGCTGTGTTGCCAAAACTGAGAAATCCAGGGGATTGAATTGAAAGATGGAATATCCGAGGAGGAAATTTGTGGCAGTTGTTAAAGAAAAAAAACGCATCTTACTTTCCTTTAACACATGCATATATACACACACACACAAAGACAACCACACGCATGCTCACTAAGCTCCCACACAGAGACACAATCAAAGTGTAAGTTGGCAGCTCTCTATAGTTTAGGGGTTGGAAAGCATCACTGTAGAGCAGGGAGAGGAAAGTTAAGGTCTTTAGGGTGTTTGGGTTATTTCTAGCATCTTTCTAAAATGATTGTCCATAATATTATGTCATGAACAAATGGCTCACATATTTAATGTTGACTCTGCCCAACTTATTTTCAGAATGCCGATATGTGCAGTTTTATAGTTTAACGTGTCTATTGCAGGCATGTTCTTTATTTAGGAATTTGAAAAAAACACCTAATTTAATTTAGTCTGATTTAATTTGATCTAATTTAAGGGTCCTCCCTGTCTTAAATAAGTTACAATTTCACCTGCCTGACCATGTGTTTTGAGTGTTTTATAGTCTGGCGTCCCTGGTCTTATAATATCCGGTGTATTTCCTCTCTTCCTTCAGCACTGGTGAATTATACTTAGATTTGAGTTTCCCTGGTTTTCCTAGGAGTAATACGCAGGGGGAATTTTCAGAAGTGGTTTTTATATCAACAAATTATATTATATGGCTGAGATGTTCATGTTGGGCCTTACACATTTATCCAATAAATGATGTTAGAACACCACTGAACAACGAAGATGCCAAGAGGCATAAAATGGGGCAAAATAAGGGAATGCCCAAGCCACTAGCTCAGGACAAGGGTGGCAGGGGACAGAGATGGCCAGAGGCACAGGTGAGGGCCACCTTCTCCCACTGAACCCCCAAACTGAGACGCTGTCCTCACAGCAGCACGTGATACTCCTTCCAGGAACACAGAGACCACCCCCAACTTCCTGGTGTGCTTTTAAGTTCGTCTTTGTAGCAATGAGACAATTTTGCTTAACTTTTTAATTAACGTGTGTCCTTGCTGACAGACCCTGTGGATGAGGCACTTTTTCCTTCTCCATTATGGCTTAAGCTTGAGATTTAATTACTGTGGAAATGAATCAAGAAAGATGACTTCAGGCAAAGCATTTCAAATGTCGGCAGAATAAAGATATTAATTCTCTGCTTTACAGCGTCAGAGAGTCATTGCATCCTGAGGATGAGAGCTGTGAAAATGATTTGAGGAAGGGGGTGACTGGCTTGGAGACCTCACAGCCCAAAGGTAGACAAACTTTTGCTGGCAACCGGGAAAGGCGTTGGACAGCAACTTTGTTTAACTTTGAGCATATGCACCACTACTTCGGTGTCAAGGAAAATTACGCTTCCAGTGTTCCACATGAAGTGGCTGGGGTCTCTGGCTGATGAGCTAAGGAAATACACCCTTCTCCACTCAAATCACTTTTCTTCTATAGACACAAGAGGAAAAAAGGGGAATATTTAAAATCATCTTATCTTTCATGGCATGAGCTATAAGCCATGCAAATGCAGCGAAGCTACGAAAGGTGGAAGCCTCCAGCCAAGTGCTTATTCGGAACAAATACACAACCTTCAAATGACCTTGAGGGCAAGAACATTGAAGACATGTGGGTTACCTTCTCATACAATCCAGCGCTCGGACAAAGAAGTCCTTGTGTAGCTGGTGCTCATCTCTCAAGATGGAACACTGTTCCAGCGTCACCGACATGGACGTCCTGTCTTTGGCACTTTTACAAGAGGTGAAACGGATTCCATTCAGCTTGCGACAAATCTGTAATGGACACAGATACAGTTTATTGTATTTGTTCCCGTGCAGCTTCAAGTATCAGCCTCCTCCCAGCCCTTCTTGTGGAGTCGTAAAATTTATGTTAATTTATGACAGTTGATTGGTTCCGTCTGCCCCCATGGAATGTAAAAGACATTACCTTTTCATTTCAAGTGCGGGTAGAATAAATTGAATTTATTTTGCTCTTTGAAGGTGAGATGGAAGGGGGTACTAAGACCACTTGAGTTGATAAATATCCAGCAGAGATAGCAAAGCTCTTTGGAGGGGGACCTAGTGATAATAATCACAGCTCAGAAGTGACACTTTAATTATGATAGTGGGGTGGAAAAAAAAAAGATTTCCTGTATCAGACACTTGATTTGAATCTTAAATGGCTATTATCTTATTTTACATTTAAGCAACCGTTGCCAGTTTCCATTTTATGTTATGAGATTTCAGCCATCCACTCCGCAGGAACAGCAGAGAAGGGGACTACTACCTAGTCAGTCTAATTCCCAAGGACACTAAAAGGACCCCTATTAATTGTACATTGACTGTGTACACAGTACATGCTAATAAGTGTCAGATAGATTTGTTCTTTCATTTAACTTGCATGGACCCTGGTGGATGAAGGTATGGTTATTCTCATTTTACAGATGAGGCAGCTGAGGTTTAGGAGGGTTAAATGTGTACCTGGCACAGAAGAGCCAGGACACCAAGAAAGGTTACCGAGAAGGACCTTGTCCTGCAATCACTTCTGATCTCTGTTTCCTTCTCTCTTTCCTTTTGTTATTCTGATATAAATTAAAAGACCGAACAGCAATAATCTCATGCCACTGCTTTGTGGCAATTCACTTTACTGTTCCCTCTTCCCTACCCCATGATGGGGTTCTGGTGCAAGATACCAAGAATTAATTGGAGCATTAGAAATGTTCATCCATAAGCACTTACAAATCGAGCTACGGTGGCGGAAGAGGCAGCTCTGTTATCTGCCATCACAGAGGCCCAAGCAGTGAGCAGTTGCGGGCCTTAAGGAGAGGCTGTCAAAATGGAATTTGGCAACTGACTTGACCGTGTTATTTTGCTTCTGAAAGCTAAACTAGTCCTTGGTCGACTTGTGGATTGTTCTAGCAATGCATGTACCCAGCACACACCCAGAAAAATGTTGATTTAACCACATTAAAAAATTTAATCAATTACGGTTAAGATTTAACCATTAAACATATTCAAATCTTGGGGCTGGAGCTATAGTACAATGGGTAGGGCGTTTTGCCTTGCACATGGCTGACCTGGGTTTAATCCCCGGCATCCCATATGGTTCCCTGAGCACCATCAGGAGTGATTCCTGAGTGCAGACCCAGGAGTAACTCCTGGGGCTCACCAGGTATGACCCAGAAAGTAAAAAAAAAAATTCAAATCTTTATAAACACTTTCAAATTCGTATATGAAACAACAGAGTTCTCTGTATGCATAGAAATAAAATATGGATCTCAATAGATACTGTGAATTATAGTTCTTTCAATTTTTTTTAAAGAATATTTGAGGTTTTAACTTTGGAAGACAGATGGTCCAAGCTCAGTGGTGCTTAGGACTAAGTTAGGAGCTTAGTCCTAGCTTTGTTCTCAGGGATCACCCCTGGTGGTGCTCAGGGCATGGTGCAAGGGATTAAACCAGGTCAGCTGCATGCAAGGTAAATGCCTTAACCTTGGACTATCTGTCCAGTACTAAGTGGTGACTTTCATAACAGTACTAAGTAAGGATCTAAATTTATTTACTTTTTTAAAAATTGAGATTACATTGGTTCACGAGCTCATCAGGTTTAAGTTTCAGGAGTAAAACGCTGCCACACTACCTCTGTCCCAGAGGTGCCCTATCATTTCATCACTGTCCATAGGACCCTAAAATCAGGAGGAGGCAGGGAAAACTGCATCAGAGCAGGCAGGCAGGATTTTGATTTCTAATTTTTCTAAATTGCATTGAAGCACATTCACTGAATTTAGTACACTTGGCTGATATTTGGAGTCTTTAAATTCCCATTTAATTTTTTTGTAAATCCAATCAAGACAAAAATGGAGACTGCCTTTTATTTTTCAATTGGAATGCAAACCATCAACAAAAGTAGAATATCTTTTAATAGATTTCCAGAAGACAGGAAATGGGGAAAAAGCTATCTGGAAAATTTCAGAGGATTTTCCCGGTTTTTCATTTTTAAGAATACTGATGTCCCTGGTTTTCTATAGGGATAATAAATCAAATTTTAAGCCCATAAGAATTGCTAAATTAAAGGCAATGTTATGGCAGAAGGCCAAGTTTGTTTACTCACTCTGGGCGCTGTGTATGCCTGTTGGCAGAAATGAGGGTTAAGTTGTGAGCAAGCCCTATTTATAGGTCTACAGATTTTATTTTATTTTTTAAGGCCTACATATTTTAGATAAGAGATGCCAGGAGTGCATGGAACCTATGGAAAAAGTGCAAGACACTTATTTTTTTTATCACATACACAAATGAAAAGAGCTGTATATGCTCAGAGAAAACAGACCACCATGTCGTCACTTTACATCTTCCCTTAATCTATCCACACAACTGCACAACAGGAAAAAAACAATATTCCTTTGCTTCTGTGAGGTCAGAGAGCCTAGGTAGATGATGAAACTTCCTTAATACTATCACAGTATTAGCAAAACGGCAAATACAATTGTCTTGCCTTTGTGAACATTCTGTGAGGATTCATAACCATGGTGTTCTTTGAAGGTGGTTAGAGCATCCACACTGGGGAAAGAACTATTTAAAAACCACCTTCGACTAATGCAGGATGGTGCGAAATGGGAGCAGTGCCTACCCGCAGCCTGAAAGCAATGTTTCATCTCCTTACCTTTGATGCTATTTCCTGGGGCTCGAAAGGGCATGAAGGGAAGCTAAAGCAGCTTTCTCCTGCCTGGTACGAGGTAACTTTATATAGACCCATGGTAAATTATCCATTCATTCCCCCAGAAAACAGAAAGAAAGAGCGGGCTATAGTTGAAGCACTAGCAATAGAGGGAATGGCTATTGAAAGAAAAAAAAATGAACAGAAAGTGCCAAAGATTGGGTGTTCTAAACTCCCAAGTTATATGCACAACGCCTATCATTCATCATTGAGATTGCCAACATGCTTTTTTTTTTCCTAATGGAAAGATCCTTTTCTAATAAAAGGATCTTCGGTGGGTCTGAATGCTTGACAAAATTCACAGTGCATGTGAACAAGGTACAGCAGGTTGTCAGCTTAGAGCTTACGAGTCCGCGGGCCGGGTTTTCTCCCTCGCTGTTGGAGCTAGTTTTCTTGGAAGGAGCCTGGAGTGGAAAATCAGGCAGATCTTCCACCCTAAGGGCTCTGTTCAATGTGAGAGAACCATCAAAACTATAGCTCATTACACCAAGAGCAACCCAACAGTAATAAATTCTATGCCAATATCTAAATTAACAAACACATTTACAAGCTCATTAATTCAGCAATATGTCCAGGAGCCTGACTGAGGGAGTGCATAGGGATCTGGTAACCACATTCTGTTGAGACCATATGTCTCTGGAGCAGCTCCTCGAGAAAATCCTGATTGCTAAGGGTGACTGCAGCAAACATTAGCAAGAAAAGCGCAGACACTTCATTTAAATCTCCAGGTAGCAAAACAGATCCAGGTGGTACAAGAAGAGCCAATGTGTATGAGATTCTTGAATGTACCTTCCAATTTTTTGTTCCAGTCTATTGACAGAACGACCAAGAGCATTGAAAATAGCTAATTCCCCAGATAATGGAAGATGACATCTGGTAACCCAGAGCTCAGGGTTCGAACCCTATGCAGCAGATATTCAATAAGACTTCCTGACAATCACAGTCACAGTCAATCAGGCTTGACAAGAGAGCGCTTACCGTTGCAGCCAGCCACATGATTTCTACATTCTTCCTTTTTTTGGCTTGGATATTTTGGTGGAGATTTTCTAGTAATCCTTTTAAATCATTTTGTTCTTGAAAATGCGAAATGACTGGGGAAAAAAATTTTTAAAAAAAAGTAAGAGGGAAGAAAGAGAGACCATGTTAGCATTAATCTGCTGTGGAGTTTTCCTCAATGCGTTTGCGAATGTAATTTCCGTAACAAGGAGTGCCATTTGCAGAATAGACTCTCTGAATATGATCACACTTGTTAATCTCTTCTGTCTTATTCTTTATTTAAAAATAGGTGGGGATAGGGGGTAGGAGGAAAACTGGGGACACTGGTGCTGGCAAATTATACTGGTGGGTGGATGGGTGTTGGAACATTGTATGACTGAAACCCAATCATGAACAGCTTTGTAATACTCTATCTTAGGGTCACTAAATAAAATAATTTTTTAAAAAAAATTAGGCCTGAGTTTCCCCCATTTCTTATTCAGTGTAACTGCGGGGGTGCTGACTGGTAATGTAACAGGACTGTTTCACCAACAGGGGAATCTTTTTTTTTTTTTTTGACAATGATAGCTCTGCTGCCTCATTTCACCAAAAAAGGACAGAGATGAGAGTTAAGATACAGGCTTCCAATTTTTGCTAGTGAGCAGCTAGACTGAATTAAATGGATGATTAAACGGGGCATCTCAGGGATGGGAGAAATCTGAAACACACAAGGTTGGTTTCCCCAATGGCGCAGCCTGGTCTGGGTTCTGCTGACAGTTACTGCTGGAAACCAAACTTTGTTGTGGAAGGTGAGTCTCTGTGCTGTGCCGCAGAACAGGAAGTGGCATCCCAGACAGGTACTGTTTAGGAGCCAGCAACACCCCTTTGACCATCAAAAACAGCTACAAACATCACACTGCCAAATGTTACTGGAGGATAAAAATCTATATACTGGTTGAGCACAGCTGCGATTGAGAACAATTAAACCTGCAAACAGGAGTGATGCAAAGGATGGGAGGAAACGGTAGGGCGGAATGGGGCGAGAAGCAGAAAGTGACCAATGTCCCCAGCTCTCTAGATGCCAAAGCTAGAGCAAGGATAATAAATGACATTCATCCCTTACAGCACGCAGGCAATGCACGTTATGGCAAAAGTGTCCCCGAGGCTGGGTGAGATAGATTCTAATCATAATCCAGTGATGGATGCATAAAGACAGTCTAAGAGGACTGTTGGGTTAGCACTGTAGAGTACGAAAATAGACCTTACACCGTGGGGCTGAATCACAAACTGAACAAAGAATACCCCTGGGCTTTCATGGAGGTAAAAAAAGGCAAAAATACAGAGGTAAAATACAGGAGGTAAAATACAGGAGAAAATACACAAGAACCAAATGGACTCTGCCTTCAATTCCCAGTTACATTCACAAATAGGAGCTATCTACCTGAATCATTACAAACCATGACACCGATAAGCTTTGATCATAACAAGGCTTTGAACTTTCCCAAACTGTTGCAGATGTTTCATTTTATTACATTCACTTTATTAAAACAATAAATCTGAGAAGTTTCTGACTTCATTTCTAGAGTAGAGGAAGTATCCTAAGGAACTTTACTCACCATCTATACCTACTAAGGCTCTCAAGGGGTTGGTAAAATGAAAATATCTATTTAAAATATCATCTAGAATCTTTCATTTCATTACCACAGGCTAGAGGAAGATATGGATACAATCATGATGTTTCCTGCTTGGGAACCAATGTTCAACGTATCCATCTAAATACAACAGTATTATTTTACTGTAATAGCCTCTACATGAGAAAACAAAAGTCCAACTCAGACCACGTAACTCAGATGCTCCTTATAAGAAAGAGGTTTCAATAAAGATATTCTATCACTAGGTAGGACACAGCCCATGAAGAGAGACAAAGAGAAATAGCGTCTAAAAGTTGAAGAGACTTTTTACAAAGCTCAAGACTGCAGCTTCAAATAAAAATAATAATAGTGTGCAAAAATTTTTAATAAGAAGAAATAAAAAATCAGGTCCACCAATACTGCTCTTACTGTTGATGAATGGGAGCCAAAATAAGACCCAGAGAATTACAAATAGACATTTAACATTATGTACAGGTATTTCATGGAAATAAAACTGTTCTTGACGGTGCAAAAAGGAACAACTGGTCAGATTAATGACTGAATATAATTCTTGTAATGTTTGTTTCTGTGCTTTGTGCATGAGTATGTAATTACTTCTGTATACAGAATTAGCTCTGTATAAAGAGTTACCTCTGAGTATATGGTTACTTGTGTATTATGTATATGTAGGTAAATTAATATAGTAACATAATTAAAAAGTAATAAAGTAATATAGTAAATAAAGTTTAGGATCTTTCTTCTGGGTTCGGGAATCTGGGCTTCAAAGCAACAACTAGGCTAGAGAATTTTAGAGGTCAAGATGCTTGCCATGCATGCAGTCAATCCTAGTGTGGTCCCTAGCAAAGCACCACCAGGAGAGATCCCTGAGCACTGCCAGGTATGACATCCTGCACAAAATGGGAGTAACTGGTAGCACTGTAGCACTGTCCTCCCGTTGTTCATTGATTTCCTCGAGTGGGCACCAGTAATGTTTTCATTTTGAAACTTGTTGTTATTGTTTTTGGCATATTGAATATGCCACGGGGAGCTTTCCAGGCTCTGCCATGTGGGCGAGATACTCTCGGTAGCTTGCCAGGCTCTCCAAGAGGGATGGAGGAATTGAACCTTGGTTGGCCACGTGCAAGGCAAATGCCCTACCCTCTGTGCCCTCGGGTAAATTCTAAATTAAAAACAACCATAGTTAGGAGATTCCTCGGGATACGTTCTAAAGTCACCTGATATAAATGACTTTAAAATGGTTTTTGAAAGTAAGGCAGAATAAGAATTTTACTTTGGAAAATATACCATCTCTCTCACTTGCTCTCTCCTTTCATACCCCACACCCCGACCTCTCTCATTCACATTATTAAGAGAAAAAAATATTGCAGGGATAAAAAGCTCTGAGTGTACACTACACCTTAAAGCTACTGTTTTCCAGTATGGACGATTCTCAAAAAATTAGAATTTGAGCTCCCATTTGACCCAGCAATACCACTCCTGGGAATATATCCCAGAGAGGCAAAAATGTATAGTCGAAGTGACATCTGAACTTGTTTGTTCATTGCAGCACTCTTTACAATAGCCAGAAACTGGAAGAAACATGAATGCCCAAGAACAGATGACTGGTTGAAGAAATTTTGGTACATCTACACAATGGAGTACTATGTAGCTGTTAGAAAAGATGAAGTCATGAAATTTACATACAAGTGGTACTACATGGAAAGTATCATGCTAAGCGAAATGAGTCAGAAAGAGAGGGGTAGACATAAAAAGATTGCATTCATCTGGGGGATATAAAGTAACAAAATATGAGATTAATACCCAAGAATAGCTGAGATCAGCACCAGGAGGATTACTCCATAGCTTAGAGGCCAGCCGGGCATTCTAGAGGAAAGGGCAGCTCAGACAGAGAAGGGAACACCAAATAAAGTGTGTTTGGAGGATCCTCCCAGGAGGGGAGATGCATGTTGAAAGTAGACTATGGACTGAACATGTTTGCCACTCAATGCCTCTTTTGCAGACCACAACGCCCAAAAGGAAGAGAGAACAAAAGGGAATGCCCTGCTACAGAGGCAGAGTGGGATGGGGGGGAATAGGGGTGGGAGGTATATTATCCATGGTGGTGGAAAATGGGCACTGGTGGAGGGATGGGTATTTGATCATTGTATAATCGAAACCCAAGCACAAAAATTTGTAAGTCTACAACTGTACCTCATGGTGTTTCACTAATAAAAATTTTTTAAAAACTACTGTTTTCTATTGCATGTTATTATTTTGGATGCTGGTTGTTCCAGAACACCAAAATAAGTGAAATATCCATAGGATGAATGTGCAGATTTTAAAAAAATGCACGGCACGGAATTAGAGAAACTCCATTCTCTGTCCAGGATATTCAGATCACTTTTTCATAATGGTCAGCATCAGAGGAAAATTCAAGATAATGCAGAAAATGTTGCAGGTCTGGAGCTTGTCGTGCATATAGCCAACCTGAGTTCAGTCTCCTGCACCAATCTGGGGACCACACATGGTTCCCAAGCACCATCGGGAGTGATGCTCTAGTGCAGAATAGGGAGGAAACCCTGAGCACAGCTGGGTGTGGCTCAAAAGAAAAACAAACAAGTTTAGTCTCAGAGTCCTATCCCATGCATGTCACCCAAATCTGCCTAGAGTCTACACAATTAGCTGGTGCGGGCTGAAGCAGGGCGAATACTAACTCAATGACCAACTTTTTCAGGGTTCTGAGACTCGAGAACAAAGCATCCTGATGTTCCAGAATCATCTGGCTTCATAGATAACATGGAGAATCGTAAATGATTCATTTTAAGGAGATTGTAGGGTTCTGAAATTTCAGTGAAACAAATGGGAATCTTTGCCATTTCTCTTACATAAAGACAGTGCTCACGAGACACTGTGCTCTAAAGAGATTCTACTCCTTCTATCCACAGCAGTTTATAAAGGATTTCATTTTAATATCACTCAAATATCCAGGCCATAATTTTTAGTTCTGCTATGATAAAACTCTTCTTATCCAGAGGATAGCCATTTCATTCCAATACTTCGGTTATTGACACTCTTCTCTCCAACCAGACAAAAAGTCTTGCAGAACAGAGAACTCCAGCTCTTGTTCCATTATAAAAAACGTATTGCCACTCATGACTCATTTGTGAATGATAGATCAGCTGTAAAATGGTGATGTACATGGAAACACAGATTGGTTTTCAACTCTGAATGAGTTTTCCCATTTGCAGATACTGACAATAAGTTTTGCTATTGCACCCACTCCTGCATTACTTTAGCAACTAAATTTAGACAGGAAAATCAAATCACTGTACCTACAACCATAGAAGATTTTCTCTTTTTAAAAATGTGGTAAATTACCAGTTTACAATGTTTTTATTGCTCTTGTTGTTGTTGGGGGGCTATCCCCAGCTGTGCTCACAGAATACTCCTGGCAGTGCTTGGGGGACCTTCATGAGCACTGGGGA